ATAAAAAAGAGGGAGAAGAAAGGGAAGAAGGCAGCATCCTGACACAGCCCTTTCCTTCAGCTTCCCCTCTCCCTGTGGTCCCAGGTAAAAATGGGAAACAAGTCCTGTTTCAGTGAGAAGGCAGCTGCTGTCAGCCAGTCTCTGTCTTTACCTGGGTCCTGATCTGAGCTAGGCCAAGTCTCTTTCTGTTGTCTGGGTCCCGATCTGAGCTGGGCATGGTAAGCGGGAAGCAGCCATGGGGGCAGGAGACCTCCCTCAGAAGGGGCGAGTGTTCAAGCCCCTGCATAGTTGGGGGGGGTGAGGATCTGTGCCTCACCTCTGTTGACCCCCAACTTCTCTCCTGATGGCCTCTCTGTGACTGTGCCTGTCTTAGGTTGTTCCTTCCCTGAGGAATCTTACCCGTCTCTGGCTAACCAGCCATCCTCCGGGGTCAAGCAGGGTGATGTGAGGTTCAGTTCTGTCTCCTTGCTAGCCTATGCCCCTGTGGCCTCCATGCCCAGCAACTGCCTTGGGATCCCCTTGCCTGCTGGTGGGGCCCCGGCATTGATCACATATCTTGGGGAACCCAGGTTTCTTCTCCAGGGAGGGCCCAGCTCAAGCCATTGGGTGAGAGACAGATCCATGGTACCAGCCACCATGAGGCTTCAACCTTAGCATGAACACAGAGCTCAGGCAACAGCTGTGGGCAATTGGACTGTGAGGAGGGGGTCCCTCTTAACACAAGGGCAAGAGGGGCCAATACAGGACAAAGGAGAGTCCCGGGACAGGGCTTTCTCAGCCCAGGATGTCAGGCTCTTGGCACAAGGCAACACCACATATGGGGCATATACAGACACCCCCAGTCATGGCAGAAAAGGGAGGTGCCCTTCCTGGAACAGTAGGGTAGGGAGATTCTAGAAAAGGCTGTGTTCAGGAGAGAAGGAGAAAGGCCAAAGAACCAGCAGACACGTTAGTCAGATTCAAAAAAAAAAGAAAGGAAAGGAGATGTGGGGCAAAGCTGGGACATAAGGACAGACAAAAAGGAGGCACATGTGATCCTCCCAATAGACAGGTGGCTCCAGCTCAGGGCTGCACATCTGCTGCAGACGGGCACTGGTCAGGTGTGCTAACTCAGCCTCCCAGGGGTGACAGTTCTCAGGAGGGAGGCAGAGGCTGTTTCTTCTGGAAAGATACAAAACACAACCTCTTCTCCACATCATTACTCTATCTGGTAAAACTCTTGTCTGGTTTGTGTATCCTTCTACCAGGCTGAGTCGGCAGAGGTTATTGCATAGGAGGCCCAATGCCTTTTGGCTGCTGTACAACCCTCTGCATTGTATTTTTTAAAAATTTAACATCTAACATTCTTCGCCCCCTTGGTTTTTTTTTAAGGATATTTAAGTTTTTTATTTTATGTCCTTTAAGATACATTTTAAAAACACACACACACATCAACTGCAAATGTGAAGGGGAGAAAAGGCATGGTACCCAACCAAATTTCCACATTTCAGCAATACTTCACTCATTCTTTAATAAAGTGTTAAGAAATGTCATAATGACACAAGCTTGAAATATCTCTAGGCATTTTCTCTGACGCTCATGACGTGGCACTGGTGATGTTGTAAACAGCAGAAAACCAGGGGCTGCCAAATGACCAAATTATGGAGGCATGGGCCTGCTCTTTTCCCCACAGGAACACACCAAATGGTGATGGCAATGATCTTCTCACACCCACACAGGAGGAGAGCAACATCATGCCATGTAACTGTATTCATCTGCTGAAGCCTGGCTGCGTTCAATGTACTGTTTGTCTATCAGCACTTCAATACACTTCTTAATCATGCTGATACTAGGGTTAAACCTAGCTCTTGACTGGCTAATCACCTCTTGAATAAGGGCATTATGCCAAAGCCCTTTTCGTGCTTTCATGATACGAACTATAGCGGCTTGGAGACACATTTTCTGGTCCTCATCTACAGCACTTCTAGCTTGTTCCATTTCCTGTGGTGTGTCTTTCTGCATTGATGTAGTAATTTTAAATTTTGTTCTTTTACTGCTGAAGTTCATATTTAATGAAAATGAAGATTCTGCATCAATCTCTTCATTTTCTGAATCATGGTTAATCATTTTCACATCAAGAAATGATTTGATTGTTTTTGTCAGTTCCTTTCCATTCATCTGTGTGCTGTCTTGAAGCTCTTGATAGCTGACAGTTTCACTGTTGTTGAAGGCTAGAAGAACTGCCATTTGGTATGTTGTAGCCATGGCTTCATATGGTTTGCCCAAATAGTTCATTTTAACTTCACCTGTGCAGAGGTAATGTAGCCATGTAAGTTTCCTTCCACCGAAATGCTGGCTGTAAAATATTTCAAACATCTGTACACTTCTGTCCAATTCCCGGGGAATCACAAATGTAGATGAAGGAGCCTGAGTAAGAGGCCATGCACCAGCCTGTAGAACATGTATTTGAAAACTAATTCCCAAATCTATTACTGTGTCTTGATTTTTGATAAAATTGTTGAACTTATTGTTGAGATCAGCACTGACACTCATATCTGTATACATCCGATGTAGCTTGCTGGTAAACTCATAACCACATACTTGCTTTAATTTATTGATCATGGCTTCTTCAGAATCCATAGACATAGATAACCCGTGAAGTAAACGTTTCGCCAGCATTCTTGCGTAGAGCCGGAAATTGCTGCCTCGCACAACCACTTCAAAAATACAACTAAAAGACAAAACGGACATCATCCAGAACCACAGGAAGGCTGGATGAGTGGAAATTCTACAACTAGAAGGAAAGAGAAAAGCACACTGAGACTCAGAGGAGGTGCGGAAATAAAGTGCAGAGGTACAGAGGTGCACACCGAAAGGGCTGGCAACTGAGGATGCGGCGCACGTGGAGAGGGATGGCAGCTGAGGACACCGTTGTCTTTTCCAATCATTCCAAAACTGACTCCACAAATAGTGTTGGCATATTTTCTTGAGTAGGATTACTGGTCGCTCTAAGGCGCTCATCACGGACATGATTTTGCAGCTCCTGTATCATAGGAGGTAAACCACTGGACACAGCACGGAGTAAGACATACATATTTGCCATGCCATTTTTGTTCTCTTGTCGAATGATATTATGACATTCGGCATGTAAGAACTGTAACTGGTCTGCTACCATTCGTTGCTGACATTCATTAATCACTTTAGTATATGAACTTGGGTGCAAGTATTTTTGACATCGAATTTCTTCATCTTTTAATCTACCTAGAACCTTTTCCATATATTGTGAGCAGTTTGATTCTTGTAATAAATTTGAAGCTTCTTGTTTGTAATACTCTCCTGCTTCAATCAGAAAGAGGGACTCAAAGATTTCCTGATAAAACTTTAAGGGGAATGTTTTCTTATACTGTTCAACATGAACAAAGGAGTTAATAACCCCATGGATTACTTTCTGGTTTGGGTCTTCTCCACCACGATCACTAAAAGAAGGTGTATAACACAAAATATTCTTGAGAACACAAATTATCTATGGAAATACCAAAGTATGACAAAACATGACTGCTTATTCTATTAGTTGAATCAAATTGTAAAGCATTTGAATGGTCAATGTATGCATAATTCTTAAATTTTTAATTTTTTCATTTAACAGCTGAATTAATATTTTATATTTAGTGAACATATTAGATGTCATTTCAATAAATAAAAGCCTTGTTTGTAAAATTAAGCATATTCTGTTGATACTAAAATTATATTCTAATTTTAGAGTAGACATGAGCCCATCAATTCAAGACTTTAATATTGGTGGTCAAGAATATTTGAACTTCACTCGCCATAAACACAATTATAAGATTTGGTCTGAGAAATTAAGTCTTTGAACCATCAAGTATGCCTATAGTAACCTGATGGTGCATCCCTCAGAGGTACACTCTATAGAATATATTACTCACTAACTGAAATGGCTAATAACTATTTTCTCTCTAAGAGATCTGCAAGAGTTGCTGAGTTGATTCCCATTCAAGCACAAAGGATTACCTCCCCGCCTGGCACTTAGTTAAGGGGTTTTACTGATAAAAATCCTCACCTGGGGAAACAACCTTTCTCGGGGAGGGGGTCCTGTTAAAAACACATAGTGTTAAGAGGGGGAGCAAACATGTGCCATATACGCCAGGTCCCTTGAAACATATGCTGTGCAGATGTTTCTTCCCTGCAGCGACTGTGTCAAGCAGCAAGGATGGACCGGCTTCCAGCACTCCTGTTCCTCTTCCAGTTTATTTTTTCCATCCTTTTCCATTTCTTCTTCCTTTTCTCCTTTTCCTTCTCTCCATTCTTTATTTTTCCTTCTTTCATCTTTACTATGATTCCTATTGGATTGCTCTGGATTTTTATCACAGGGCATAACTGGTTGTTTCTGTACAGCAAGATCATGTAGACAGCAAAACTGCTTAAAGAGCAGAGAAGTAGAAAAGGCCATTAGATTTCCAAAATGTGTTTCTTCCTATCACTCCTCTGACCTGTAGATGGTAAGTCAGAAGCACAGGATTTGTCCATTGTAGAACCTTAACTCTTACTGTGTTAAGACCTTATCCTTGTAGGGAGGTGCAGGCATCCACAGCAGATAAGAAAAACATACTTGGTGAAAACATGTCATTCCTTTTCCCAATAACTTAAAGACAAGGCAGCAACCCATCCCCATAACTCATTTATAGCAATTT